AATTTTCAACTTGGGATCCTTCGAATTTGGATAGTAAGAATTGGCTCTAATGAAATTACAACTAATTTAGCAGGCCCTGGATTTAAATCAGCCTTCATATATCAATATAATAAAAGTCAGGCTTTGTTTTTTTAAGAAATTGATAAAAATCACTGCAGAATAACAATTTACTACGAATGCAATGCATGTATAGACTTTATTGAACAAAATTTGGATTTAGTTTGGTCAAAAATTGGAATTCTATAGCAATATAATGGAAATCAACTTTTTGAATTAACTAATCAATACATAAAAAACCTTATACAAACAGCTCAAATCCCATGTTGTACTTTGAATGAATGAAATAACAAAGAAATAATAACTAATATTTACAATTACCACCTTAAACGTCATATAATGCAAATATAAATTGGTATCAATTTTTTTGCAATTAGTTAGAACAACCAAATACAATTATTGAATTAAAGTCAGCTCTGCAGCTAATCTACCCAATAGAATATGAAATTGGAGATCGGGAATTTCAAGCCTAGAAAGCAATGCTAAAAAATATTGGTTGTTCTGATATTACCCCATATGAAAAAGATCAGTCAAAAGTAAGTAGCTGTTTTAATAAATTTTACAATTTATATATAACTTAATTGATGTGAATCGATTTCTATAGTTCGAGTTTTGGTCTCAGTCCATTACTCTGGATAGTGATAGAAGTTCTTTGTCTACATTATACGATCTTGGATTTGTTACAACAGTTCCCTTATACTCCTCTATGAATGCTTTTTGGAATTCTTTTCACAATTCTTTGGAAATTAATAAATGCGGCATAGATGGGTGTCGACGGGTATTATCTATAATTGCTAATGATTTCAACTATGAAGTTATTAAAAAAAACTTAGACGTAAGTAGCCTGTTTGAACTTATTACTACTATACCAATTTCTACTTCCCCTTTTAAGCTTACTATTTTTTTTAGGTTTCGAATGATTTAATTCGTGCTGTACAAAAGCATGCATGCATTTATGGACCTGGAGAATTAGTTACTAACAAACCTGTAATTAAACATGAAAAAATGTCATCAGAAAAAAATGCACAATTACAATATTTTTTAATAGACAAAGCTAATATCGTAATGAGCTCATATAAAACTGACCCTATTACAAATAAACCAGTATATTACCTGAAAAATTCAAAAGATGTACTGTAGAACAAATTTCATGAAAAATACCCGAATAGAATGCGCCATACTAGTTTTTACACTAAGTTGGAGGGAAATAGATACATATATCGAAAAGATTTGGGTGGATTATGCTATACATGTTCACAATATAGTTATGAAATATTTTCAGATATTATCTCATTAATTCAAAAACATGTAGTAGAACATGTAATTCAGGTAATTAAGTCTGGTAGTATTATTAATTTTCTGGGAAAAAATTACAGCGAGATTCCCGATGATTATAGAATACAGATGGCCCGAAGGGTTATCTGCATTATAATTAGGCATGAAATTCAACTTATATAGTGTGGGATCCTGATTGGCCAATATCGAAACTTGGGGATGTCGATGTTCCAAGATGCTATCAATATCCCTAACTCACGTTGTTTATAGCTACCAATTTTTACAGAACAATCCCAAAAATTCCTGGTCGGATTTAGGTCGGCATTTAGCCCTAGTGGTTTGTAGATTTTATAACAAAATTATTAGCTGCGCACTTTTCACTTAATGAACGGGTACAATTTCATTAGTAAAAATTTAGTGATTCTGGGCAAATTTGATCATTTCTGGCCCTGCCAACCAGGATTTTGATGCATTCCGACCAGGAATTTCCTGTATGAATTCATGCCTACCTTTATTATAATTTTTCATATGATTATTTGTAACTGGGAATCTTCCTATGGAAGATTCCCAGTCATGGTACGATCTCGTGAGAAATTATAATGATAGGGTATTAAAATAAATATTACATCATAGATAATAGCTAATACATACCATATTTGTTATTACAGAGACAATTATCATTGGAATGTGAAAAATTGAAGCGTTTTCTCAAACAGGATTATGAACAACATTTCCATATTACTCCACAAGGAACGACATTCCATGATACTTGCATTAATCATTGTCTTTTATATGCATTCGGACAGTGTAACGAACCCCATACTCAAACTTGTAATGACTATTATACTTTTTTTTAATTTTTTGATATGTTACGTAATAATATTAGTATTTCAATTTACGAAGAGTTGGATGATTTGTATGATCATTTGCTCTATTACTTGGCTCATCAGACAAGAAAGGCATATTTAAATGCTCAATTGAATACAAACTTGTTAAATCTGAATAAAAAAACTGCTTTAATACTACAAAATGAAAATACTATCTAAAACAGCACGTGAAACTAAACAAGATTGGTTTGGCAAAAAAGGCTGGTCTCTTCACTCAGTCCTTGTATATGCTATACAATCCAACTCAACAAAATTACGAATTCAAGCATTTGATCATTGGTCCATGGATTTACGTCAAGATTCGTGGTTCACAGTATCTTCACTTCATGCAGTAATTGAAACATTAGATCCAAAACCTGAATCAGTGATAATAATGTCAGATAACGGAGTTATTACCATAATGCTGATCTAATGATGATAATGGGATATTGGCCAGAATGGTATGGAATTAATGTAAGCAGATGAATCTTTTTGGAAGTAGGAGAAGCGAAAACTACAATCGATTCTCATCATACACAGGTATGATGACTGCTAGTAAATTATTCATATTACCTACACTCGTATATTGACTTTTATTTTTATTTTTTTTATTACAACGAATCAGATATCACATGCAATCAATCGATATATTCGTTTAGGCTTTGATATAACAGTAGGACAGGATATTGAGAATGCAATCAAAGGAATTAAAAGGACTTCTGTTGCAGATCTGAATCCTATTTGGGACAGAGGTAGTGGTAATAATACATTACCTGGAAATTTTAACTGGTTTGAGTGGCAATGGCTAACAACGGGCGAATTTTCCGGATGTATTAAAGCACGAGATATTCCTAGTATAGGTAAATGGAAATTTTTATTATAGCAGAATTAGATAAATTTCGCAAAAAAGACATTCATAAGCCCACACCAAAAGTATCGACACATACTATACCTTCATCAGAATGGGAAATGCTAATGCCAAATTCATCACGTATGTCTTTAATACTGTTCAAATTTATTATATTCAGTAATAACTAGGCTTTTTTATTGTCAAGGTCTTATTCTGAGTCATCTTACAAGAGAAAGTCTAGTGAAAAAATTAGAAAAACGAAACTTTAGGTTCAATAATAAAGAAAATAAAGATCAATTGATAAATTTACTAGAAAACCAATTG